CCCAGCCAGTGCCAGGGCAGAGACTCAACGCCAGTGGGGGATGAAGGGCGTTTGGCCCTGACCCGAACCCCAGGGACCCCTGAGCCCTTCCAAAAGTAGCTCAAAATGAGCACATTGACCTAAACCCGTCTGTTTCCAGCCTACGTTTGCTGCCCCGGGGGAGAGCGTGTGCTCACCTGGAAGAACTGCAGCTGCTTCTCCTGACTCCAGAAGAAGGGGTGCACGAGGACCACAGGGGCTGAGGGCCGGTGCTGGGGCTCATGGCTGATCATTGCCGTGATCAGCTCTCGTGCAACAAGCGTGTCTGGTGGGGAAACACCACAACAGAGAACTGACCCCCCCTGAGACGGACCGGGAGCTGCGCCCCTCGGCTCAGGGCTGCCTGCGGGGACGTGCCTGTGGGGAAGGGTCTCACCGTGAGCTTCTTCCTGCAGGCAGCTCAGCTGGTAAGAGCCCGACAAGATGTTGGCCTGTCGCCGCAAGCTGTCCCCAAAGGGGTGCTGCCCTCCGGACACCACGTAGTAGAAGATGCAGCCGGCAGAGAAGATGTCCACAGCACACGTCTGCAAAACATGACGGTGGAGATGGGACCCTCACAGCAAAGGGCAGGGAAGGTTTCACCTCCCCACTTCTCCATCTTTCACGTGAACGTGTGTTCATTTGCTACAGAGCTGCTGGAAAACGCGCGGCAGTGGGGCTGGTGCCTGCCCTGCCCTCTGGAGCCAGCAGAGCACCCGTCACACCGGGTCCCTGCCAGGGAGGGTTCCAGAGGTACAGACAGGTCAGGACTTCACAGCCAGACAGACACATCAGGGCTGCTGGTGTCTCACCCCGCTGTGCAATCCAACCCCAACACAAGGAGCATGATGCCAGCACCAGTACATGCCCTGCCAGGGACCAGTAAAGCAACTGGCTTCCAGCAAGAATGGGATTCCCTGAGCTGAACAGACGAGTGGAAGCATAACCACGGCCTCCTCCGACCTCCCCACCCCGAGTTCCAAGGGCTGCAGAAGATGAGATGCCCTGTGCTGAGCATGGCCAGGCACTGTCCCCGTGAGGGCAGGAGAGCAGAGGTGGACCCTGGCTGGGGTGGTCCTGGCAAGGAGAGCCAGTGCTCCATATCTGGGCTGGCTTGGGATCTCTGACTTTTTGCCTTAATTGCCCATTTCAGCAGCACACTGCGGGTGCTGCCAGCATGGGAGGCAGCCACGACGGGCTCGAGGAGCGCCCGAGGCAGGGGGACGTCCACGGCTCACTGACCGGGTTCTCCTTCATGGTCTCCTGCAGCACCTCGGGCGCGATCCAGCCCTCGGTGCCAGGGATGCCAGAGCGGAGGCTGAAGCTCTGTCGTCCCCCCTGAAGCTTCTTGCAGAGGCCGAAGTCAGAGATGACGGCTCGGATCTGCCCGTGGCGATTCGGGACGGAGATGAGGATGTTACAGGGCTTCAGGTCACGGTGCACTGGAAGGGAGAGCACAGTGTCACCCGCCACCTGGCAGCAGGGCTGGAGCAGAAAAGGGCTCTGCCCCCGCCCTGCACGCTGCCCACCCGACTGCTGCCGC